CATGACTGGCACAGTGCCTAAGGTATGGTTGGTGCTCAGATTTGTTGAAAGGATGAAAGCAATGAATACATCCATGAAATCAGGGAGGCCAGTGAGGTTGAGCAGGATATAGGCTGTGCAAGATGGCAGGGAAATCTAATTTAGATTTTGCCATTAATTGGGAAAATATTGAGCAGTATTTTTATGGGCAATGACCTCCTGCATCCCTCCCATCCTTCCTTCCTTCCTTCTTCCTCTTTCTTCTTTCCTTTATTTTTTTTCACTTGATGATTTGCAAAGCTATAACAAGGCAATAAAAAGCCCAATAAATGTGGGAGAGATCACCTCAATAGTCGGAAACTTTCTAGTGAATAATACTTTTAAAATTCTTTCGTGAGGGTCATGTGTATGATTAGGAGGCTGAATCATTTTTCACCAGGAAGACTTTTATTACTCCTGGAAAAATCCCATTGCTTGCAGAGGAGCACAGACGCTAGAGGGCAGTCCTAGACATCCTTGTGGTGTTTTCTAGGGGAAGAAGGACCACAGTAACCTCGCCTGGGGCTTCAAACACACCCGCATTCACTCTTATCTGACGCTCTAGGCTTCACCCCTTTCTGTGGTTGGATGACTTCCTCCAAGTAGGAGACCTTAGGTATCTTGCTTGACTCCCACAACAGTTGCGTGAAGAAATATCTGCCGCTCCCCTGTGTCCAGGGCTGGTGCCCTGGTGGGGGATCTCTGACCAGCCCTGTAACCCCATGTTCCAGGACGCCATCTGCCCTCTGGTGTGGGCGTTTGTGGGGAGAATTCCTTGGTTCCCATTTTAAGTGCCTTTGTATCCAAGCATCAGAGTGGCACTGCCCTCCATCCTATCACATTGAGGAGATTTACAGACTTTTTTAAAGCCCCTTGAAGACACAGTTTGCATTGAACTCAAACACAAACTATTAGGGGAGTGAGACTTCCCAACTGTCAGACTAAATTTACAGCTAAGAAGCTGTGAAACCCCTCCTACCCGCACATGCTTCTTTTACTTCTTCTGGGCAATGATTAGTAAAAGAGCCCTCCCACCATCCCATCAGTAGGAGCTGCCGAATTCTGGAGTGAAATGACCCCCGCTTAAAGGTCCTGACTGTATGTTCGACTCTCCCCAGGCTTTGGTTTCTTCAGAAAATTTGTCCACAGTGCCAGTTCTTGGGAAGAACATGATTTTTCTCTGTTACCTTCCCTTTAGAGGAAAGATTATTTTACTAATTTTTATTTTTGTAGAAAGCGAGGCTGTTTTTAAAGCCTTGTTCTAAAAAGAGATCAAGTTGGAGTCTGGTTCTGACTAGTGGGAATTTTCCTTCCTCTAAAGGGATGGCTGGCTGAGCTTGAACTGCTGCCAATAGGGGCGACTTTGCTCACTGCAGCACTTTTAACTTAAAAGTGGCTAATAAAATCATGAAGGAAAATCATAAAAGAGAATTACAAACAAAAAATCATCAAAAAGAAAAAAAAATGATTTGACCATGATGAAACTCACCCTCCAGGGACCAGAATAGAAAATGTGCAGACATAAGCTAATGTCAGCGGAGAACTTGACGGATTTCAAAGTTGTTTCCTCTTCACAGGTTTCACTAGACAGTTTCTGCTAATGCCTTGTTTTTAACGCTGCAGGAAACTCAGAAATGTTGGGCAAAAGGAAAATCTGGTCAACTCAATTGACCAAATTACAAGAAGAAATTGGAAACTTACTTTCCTTTTTTGGTGCATTTTTTTATTAGCACATTTGCAGTACATAGTGATCACATGCGAAGTGGGTACATGTACGTAACACATCTTACTTCTTTTTTTCATCCCTTTCTTCCCCTCCCCCATCTCTTAGTCCCCTCCCATTTGAAAAAGACCTAGCTCTCTAGTTCCTATTATCTATCCTTTATTTTGTTCTTTATTTATATTTGGGTTTTTTTTTCTCATAGAAGGCAATCTTTAAGCTTGTATATCTGATTTATTTCATTTAACATTTTCATGTCTGGGTCCATCATCCATATTCCTAAAATGATTCACTTTTAACCTTCTTTACAGCAGAGTAGCAGGTGAACGGATAAAGAGAATGTGTTATTTGTTCACAGGGGCGAGAGAGCCATCCAGTACACATCGCTTTTACGTTGGCTTATTTCACAAAAGGTTTCATCAACATATTGAAAGTGTGGTTATATTAATGAAACAATCATACCAGGACTCGAATACTTCCAGATTTCAAGGCATCACATTTCATCACATAAAGAAACAGACTTAAACAGAATCAGAAGCGATAGTTGCTCACTCAGTTGCGAGTGTATTTGGTTAGGACATATGCACTAACTGGTTAAATGCTACAGCGTCTCTATTTTTAAGCACTTTGTCCACGGCTACAACTCCAAGATCACTTTTTCCTCTGGTACCCTTTACTTGTTTATTTTTGGAATGTTTGGGCCAAATCTGTTCCATCTTTGACCTTTGAGTTCTTTTCTCTTTAGGGAAACAACTATGTATACTTTTCTCACTATTAAATGTATGCATGTGCCCTCATGCACAATAAACAATTCCCAGACTTGCTTTTCTGACAAATAAATCAGTGCCTGTAGATCTTTAAAATGTCAAACTTCTCACCCGGTGTGAGACCCGTCACTGTCCAAGAGTGTCTTTGACAGCACCCCAGATCTCGCTGACTGGCAAGGTTCTAACGTGTCAGAATGCTGAAATGTACAAGACACCTACTCAGACTGATCCTTTCCCTGCAATTATTGAAGGCTCTCTGTTTTCTGGCTTCTTGTAAGATTTACTGCTATCTCAGGCATTTGGCCTCCCAGAAGGTCAAAGAGCTCTGAGTTAGTTTGCTTTCTTTCCACCCTTTCAATACCAAGGTGTCACCAAACTTTTTTCTAAAAGCACACAGCTGTCATATGGAACCTCAGAAGCATCGCTCACAGACACGCCCACAGAGGCAGTCCCAAAGAGCTCACCGTCTCTACAAAGGTAACTTCTATACCTTAGAAACTTTGGCAACCTACCCTTTGGCAAATCAGTTGGCTCTGGCAACTGATAGGCCTGGTTCAAATCCTCCCACTAACTTCCTTTGTGAACATGCATACTATGTGCACCTCCTGAACCTTAATCTGAGTTTTCATCTGCAAAGTGGAAAGTGATATTATTAAGAAGATGGGCTTGTACAAGTCAAGAGCAAGTAAGTTTGAGATGAAAGGAACAAGAATACATCCATATATGTGATAAGTTTTTCCTTACACACTTGTCTTCAACAAAATGAATAGAAAGGTGAGGACTGAGGCAAGGATATAATCAAGTGAGTACAATAGCAGATACCCTCGTGATGTCCTGCTCTACGTGAATCAAGGCTGTGTGCAGGATGTGGCTAGCTCTGCCCCGGAAGTTAGTACAGAAGTCAGGTGCAATCTAGGATCACCCTATTACTCTCTAACCACCTAGATGTTACACATCAGCCTGAGGCTTGCCTGCAAGGTGACAGATTTCAGCACGCCAGAGTCAGGAAATGAACAAGTTGAGGTTATTCCCTAACCTCAGTGGCTGCAGCAGCTTTGAACGTTCCCATGTGTATCCTACGTATGAATTCCTCATTGAAATTTGCTTTGGGAAACATCACTTTTTATTTACATAGTAACTTGACCAGCGTAGTACTCTGTGTCCAACAGAAATGCACGTCCGCCATCTACTCTTTGCTCCTCATCTGAGAAAGGAAAATACATCTAAGGAATGATCCAGATGTAGCAATTTGCCAGGGATTCTTCTGACAACTGATTTTTGGCATTTTTACAGGGACAAGACAGGTGAAGACAGACTATTCCAATCAGTCTATCAAGTAGGTTCTGATGGAAGGGAGATGAAAAAAATCAGGTTTTTCAGTGGGCTCAGAGATTTTTTTCTTCAAATAGTTTCCCAAATCTGTATCAATCAACTGACAGCTCCCCAACACTCAACTGATGCCATGAATTTCAGGCCAGTAACTCCTTCATTTCCAGCAGGGAACTCACCATCTGCTTCCCACACCTGCTCGCCTTACCTCTTGGCTACTGTTTGTTACTCTTTCCTTCTAAGTAGATACTGTCAGACACACAATGAACCCTTCCCTCCCGCCATCTCTCCCTTGATCCTTTTTGTTTCCCTTAATAGTTGGGCTCTCCCTTTTGTTAACTAGGATGGGACTGTTGTCCCTTTGTGCAACTCTCTTTCTTTGCTTTCTCTCCCAACACACACACACACACACACACCCTCTCCACTAAATTTTTGGAACCCCTGTGGACACCTCATGTCTCTGCTCTAGAACTGGCTCCCTATGCTTCAATATATGTTCTTGTTAGATCTAGGTCTTGGATCCTTGGCCTCAGGAGATCCATGCAGCCCTATTTCCCAACTCTCCTTAGCCATTCCTTTTATCTCAATGCTGTGTGCAGCCATTTAATCCCAGCCTCTATGTCTTTAATATTGTCTCTCACTTGCCCTTTCCACAACGCCCAAATCTAACTGCATTATTCAAATTCTCATCTAAGTGTACATCTGTGACCAAATCTCCTTTAAACACCTAGGGAACGACTCACTTCCTGGCTCTACTCTTCTTTCCTATTTAATCTCAGGCCCACACTGTCCTAACATAGGTGCTGTGTGCCTGAGAGTATTGTGCAAGGGGCCCAGGACTGCATTTCTCTTTTTTCTCTACCTGCTGGCAGCTCCCCGCCCCGACCCACGCAGGGGACGTGGAAAGAGATCAGTAACTAACACCCGGGGTTTGGAAAAACCTACACCTTCTACCCCAGCTTTGGGTAACCTGTACATTGTCCCTTCCCTAACTTTGTCAATCTTCATGCTCACACAGGGTGGAGAAAATTTACTACCAAGTCATTGTAAGCGCCCGGAGACACCCTTGAGAAAGACGTAAACAAAATCTCAACGCTTTCTTTGTCTTTCAGGTCCCTCTGCGGAGAAGTGGAGCGGAGTTGAAGGAGGAGAGGATTATTGCATTAACTTTCCTCCCAGCCCCCGAGGAAGGGTCCACAGGCTACCGAGGTGATGTGAAGACGGGGGCTCTACCTGCCTGACCTGGGCGGCGGGGTAGGGTACCCTTTCCTCTTCCTCCATCCAGAGAGCGCAATTGCGGGAAACAAGAAAGCTGTCGCCCCCGTGTGGGACTTTGCTTCTGAAAACAATGGCTTGAGGTGGCTAGGACAAGACGCGTGGTTCTTGAGCTGCCCCTGCAGTAGATGGACGCGCAGCCGTCCCAACCCGGACCGACCGCCAGGAGGCGCTGCGCACGCACCGGTCCCCGCCCGCTCCGCAGGATCGCGAGCGCGCGGTCCCCTCCCTCCCCAGCGCCAGCCGCGCACCGGGCAGCGGCGCGACCAGGGCCAGAAGCGGGGACTGTCACCGCGCAGGCGGCCGCCGGGGCGCAGGGCGATGTCTGCCGGGGCGCAGCCGCTCGCGCCCCTCTGGTGCTTCTCGGCCGCGCTGGGGATGCTGTGGTCCCCAGCGTCGCAGGCGTTCAACCTGGACGTGGACGAGGTCACGGTGTACAGCGGCCCCGGGAGCAGCTACTTCGGCTACGCGGTGGACTTCCACCTCCCTGACGCTCGCACGTAAGTCCCTCGCGACCCCGCCGCAGCGCGTCCCGCGGGTCCCCGCAGCCTGAGGTCGCGTCTCGCTGCCCACGCGGGTCCCGTCCCGCTCCCCGCGCGCCACCAGCCTCGCCTCGCGGGTGCAAGCTGGAGGTGACGTAGGAGCTCTGAGCGAGACGTGCCTCTCGCATGAAAGCCCCAGGTGCAAAGGTTGTGCGTGGTACGAAGGAAGGCGGGGGACCCCACAGACTCAAGGCAGTTGGGGCGCCGACCCCGCGCGGTCTGTTTACACACAGCCTGCCGCAGCGCAGTGTCCCGGGGCAAGTGCCGCGGGCTGCGAGCAGCTGGGCTCTGTCCTCTGCCTTCCGCTCGCAGGTTGCGCACACAGCTCCACCTAGGGAAGAACTGGGTTTCCCACGAGCACGCTGAGGCTGAGGGTCTCCCCATCGCCCGTAACGGTACCCTCCAGCCCCTGCTCCTGAGCGCGTGGCTCGCCCACGCGTTTATGACCCCCAAGCAGTGACTTTCGCTAACCCTTTCGCAGAGCCAGTGTCTTGGTGGGGGCGCCCAAAGCCAACACCAGCCAGCCGGACATCGTGGAAGGGGGAGCCGTGTACTACTGCCCTTGGCCCGCCGAGGGGTCTGCACCGTGCAAGCAGATACCTTTTGACACCACCAGTAAGTGATATTTGTCACTGGGGACTCTGGCCCTGGTTTGAAAGAACCAGAACCGTCCTGGAGTCAACCTCCCACTTCCTTTGTGCTCCTTTTTTGCCTCTGTGACACGTTCAGGTTGCTCAACCCTGAGCCAAAATTTCTAGTGAGCCCCAGGAAAGAGTAATGAATGTCACTCCGAGTACCAGGGGCATCCTTGCAACTTCTTTCCTCACCGAGCAGAGGTGAGCGTCTTGAGGGTGAGGGCATGCTTTGGAAAAATACAGAAGTTCTGCATTCTCAGCTTGACTTCAGACAGAATTTGATTGCTTCACTGGGGGAAATGTGTGAGGAGACAGTCTCTTAGCGTTTCCACTTCCTAAACTCCAGAGGCAAGAGATACAGCGGCAGACCTAACTCTCACTCTGTGTTGCTGTTTAATTCTTTACAGGAAGAAAGAATTTTCTTTCAAAATATTGGCCATCGGATACAAACTAGTACAGGCAGAGTGTGCATGGATTACATTCATTTCCAAAATCCCTAGACAGATGTTTCTTATTTAATTAAAGGGAAAATACATTTTAAACAATTCAGTCTGCTTATGTTTCCTCTGGTGTTTTTTCTTTGGGTCCTGAGAAAATAATTGAAGTTTAATGCTTTTGAAAACGCTAACACTGAAGTTTTTAATCTGTAGCACCAAAGCTTTATGAATTCAAATGATATAGATTATCAGAAAGCAAATACCTCTTTCCAGAAAAATGTGAGTGTGTCAACTCAAATAACAGTTCTGATGATCATTTAAAGGATCTAGTGCACTGCACAACTATTTTATGACATCATTCTTGATAACTGTGTATTTTTGTGTTTTTAGTGTGTGTTCAGAGCGTATGTAAAATGTCCGTTTTCAAAAGAATTTTGATGAAATTGCTTGGGTGCTCTATGCTTGTTTGTTTAATTGGTATGTTGAAGGAAAAATAGTTTGTTTTCTATGAATATTGAAATTATTTCCAAAAAATCCATGCAAGTATTACCTTGAATTATGACCCAATTAGGAAAGTGTTTTATAAAAGCATTTTTTAAAATTTTATTTTTCATACCTTTCTGTACATGGCCACAATAGCTTATTTGCCCTTTCATTAACTGATTCAGTTATTTCATGTTTTATCAGCTTTTACTTTTAAATTTAACGATGGGAAAATGAAGCTTTCAGTTGTTCTTTTGGGACAGAAAGCTTTTAATTAATTGCTGTATCAGGACTTGAGATACCTTTCAGTTGTTGACCTTTAGTTCAAGAATAAACTCCCTAACTCAGAAGAAATAATTATTTAATGGCATTGTATTCACTCTTGGCTAATTATTCGTACTTTAAAAAGTATTTTAAACTCAGACATTGACACATAAAAACACACATCATTGGTATTACTTGAATTTACATTAGGAAAAGACACATTCATGAGAGATGCTTAATGTGTTTTTACTGAGAAGCAACATGTAGTCCTGGAAATGCATTTAGTAACCTGCTAGGACATTCCACAACACATCCAATCAGGATCTGGCTAGCATATTTTTCCTTTGATAAAGAAAGAATCAATAACCACCTGGATAAGAGACACCTACATACCTTTGTAAACACTAACCCCAGGACACGTCATGGCTCAATAGATAAAAACCAGAGAATCCAGGCATCCAAATGAATTTTTAAAAACTGACCACTCCCAATCAAAATTTTCCAGTATTAAATTAGAATTGGTAATGTTTTCCAAGGTTCATTCTAAAACATTTGTTTGGGCTTTGAATTCACTTTCCCCTACAGAGCTAGCTGAAAGGGTGTACACTGACTTCCAGAGTAATTCACAGGAAAGCGCTTAACCCTTACTGTAGCAGGATTATATTTGCAGCGAATCAGTATCAGTCAAACTAATAGTGTTGGCAATTAATAAATAGGACAATAGTCCAGAAAAATCAGTGTTACTTGGAGAAAGATGAGGGAAGAGATGGCTTCTTTCGTGCAGGTCCTGAAGAAGATAGCTGAATTCTCAAAAGGCTTTAGAGACGAGTGCTGCTGGGTTTGCACTACCTCTTACTTGTAAATACATGGGAGTCTTTACTTGAATACAGACACATCTTATGATTTCACTTCCAACCCTAGTCAAGTAGTTTGAGGATTTATTTATTCATATATGGAAAAATGTGGGGGAAAGAAAGGGATGTCCCTGAAATAACTGAGCAGGAACTTTAAAAAAAAAAAGAGAGAGAAAAGCAAGGCAAGGAAGGCTGCAGAAAGTTTGGGAAAGATGAGTGTTTCATGATGGAATGAACGGCACAGTGACCTATGGAAGAGGGGGCTGCATGGAAAAAGATAGTCATCATTAGGGAAAGAAAGTTCCCCATGTCAGCCATCAGGGGGTACTGTGGGCCCAGAAACCTTGATGGCTTTGGGAACGGCCTGAAAACGGGTGGGGGAAAGATGAGGGAGGACTGCAGATCAGGCCTTTGCTATTGAGTGGGTGCGGGGCTCTAGCCCTCCCCTGTACCAGGGACTTTCTCCATGTGCTCTGAGAAGGTAGAACAGGCAGTGGCTGCCACCTGATATGAAGCTGTGAAAGTGAAGAAGGCAGGGAGGGTGGAAGCCAGCCTAGCTGGTTCCAACAGAAACATGAGTCTGTGGGCAGAGAGGAATCGTCGAACCAAAACTGAGTGGTGGAAGCAGACATTGCCCACTCTGGGTTTTGCAGTTAGAATTGCCAGATGCATTATACTTACTGATGATCACTGTGTACCAAATCACTTTACACACATTTTTTTCTAATTCAGAAACCAAATCAACTACGTGGAATTTTTTTTTTTTTTTTTTGATTAAGGAAACTGACATCAAAGGTCTTTCCAATACTGGAGAATGGTGTGATTGTGATAAAGGTCTGCTTATTCCCAAGCTTGTTCACCCCGTCTTCTTTCTAGAAATGGGGAGAAGAGGAGTCCCCGTAGAGGGCAAGATCAGGGTCATGACTGGGTTCACTGGTTCCCTAGCGGGCACCAGGGCACTGTTCATCTTCCTTTGCTTCCCCACCCCAACGAAGGCATCTGAGAAAGCCAAAGGGAAGAAGACATTTCTGTAGGAGGTCTGTAGGTATCAGAGGTTTCTAAGCAGGCTTTTTCTCAGTGGGAATTATGGGTTGGATACATCCCTGGTTTGCTCAAGCTCCCCCAGATCCCCTCTCAGGATCTCCAGGCAGGGCCTCTTAGTGCCAGCAATATACTATCTCTGACTGACACATACAAACTGACACCATGTAGCAGTGTGTGATGTGTTGGGCATAAATATATTTATTATTAGATTGCCGGTATTCCTCTGTAAAGATATTGTACTTTTACTACAATGTCTGGTTTCTAGACATCCAAAGTAAATTTAAACTTTTAATGGTATGCAGGCCCCTGGAGTGTCTACAATTTAATGTTTTGCTGGTGAAATCTACTGCATTTTCTCAGCCTAGGCTCTGAGGAAGACTGGCCTATAATTCAGTCTCTATATTTCTCTCTGATCCAGCACCTCAATTTATTTAAGCTCAACTGCCTCTTCTTTCTAAGCTACCTGTTACTTTATTTCCTTAAATAATCATTATTCATTTTTGTTCACCTTATCATATAACTGGGATTTTTTGGTATTACTTTTTAAGATAAAATGCAAAAACAGAGGAAGCTTGGGCTAGCCTAGCACTTCACATGCATGAATACTGTTAAACTCCGGTCCTTTCAAGTATGGAAAAAGGAAATTTTGAGGAAGCATATGGCAGTGGGGGAGGTGCAAAGAGTAGATAATTTCCCTGCTCTGTACAAAATCAAGTGGCTCCAAAAAAGCACTTCTCTCATCTCCCTTGTCTTTCTCTTTTACTTCAATGGAACCAGATTCTCCCCGCCACCAAATTGGTTTCTTTCACTTTTGCCCCAGGAGCTCTCAAAACTATGCCCTGTGCCTTAAGCAATTTAAAATATCACATCTGACAAATTCATGCCTGTCTTTGCTGAGACCCCTTCAGCATTTATTTCTTCTTTCCAAACCACCCTGTGCACTAAATGGTTGTTAGACTGGTCCCCCTTCCTCTTAAAAGGGAAATGAATGAAAATAATGAAATAGACGCCTCATCTTTGGAAGAATGAAAGGCTGGCTGCAACAGTAGTAACCAAAGCACAGAACAGAAAATACTTGAGTGCTCTCCATGCTCAAATGACACATTTTGAGGAGAAAAATAATGGAGTGTGCTAATAAATGATGATAATCATCACAGCCCTAATAATAACAAAGGCAGTACAGCTGGGAGCCACTCGCAGTTAAGGACCCACATAGAGAGCAAACAGGAAGAGGTGGGGGGGGTGCCACTGAATTTATTATCTTTGTGCTTTCAAAAAGTTATTTTAGAATTTAAAACAGAAGTTGGTTTGGTGAGGACATTCTAAATTCTAGAATGATAATTTTTTGTTGGAATTGTGTTTCGGTTTAGGTACCTGAATCCTTTGTTTTTGGGGGGGGTCTGTTTTATTTTGTGTTCAGGGGACCTGCAACAAGAAGCAGCCCAAGCATCTGGCTCTGTGACTGGTGCGGGACCGGGTTTTGATAGTCCGGGGTGTTCCCTTCATCTCATGTGAGGGGTGGGAAACATATTGGTCACATAAGTCTTGCTTTTTCTGAGCTTCCCTAGAAAGAAATCAGCTTTTTTTTCTTTTTTCCAGGAACAAAGAAAAGAAAAATGTAGGTCAGAGCTACCCAAGTAAATGACAGAAAAAATAACATACAAGTGACAGAATTTAGGAACAGCAGAAATCTGTGCTCCAGTAAGTTCAATTGGAAGTTTAAACAGGGGCATAGGGAACCCAGAGATAACCTACCTCTTTTAAGAATAAATAATACCATAAACAGAGCAAATCTGGCTATTCATATATACACCTATGTCTACATATCTGTGTATCTGTATATCTATATGTCTACATGTCTGTATGTACATATTAATGTATAGACGTATAATATATAC